CACATATGAGCGATCTTATATGGTAGTTTTCTTTCTCTTTCTGGCTTACTTCACCTAGGATGACATTCTCTAGAAGCATAAATGTTGCTGCAAATGGCATTATGTTTTCGGTTTTTATTGCTGAGTAGTATTCCATTGTATAAATATACCACCTCTTCTTTATCCAGTCACCTATTGATGGGCATTTAGGCTTTTTCCATGTTTTGGCTATTGTAAATAGTGCTGCTATGAACATTGGGGTGTAGGTGTCATCCTGAAGTAGATTTCCTTCTGGATACAAGCACAGGAGTGGGATTCCTGGGTCACAAGGTAAGTCTATTCCTAGTCTTTTGAGGGATCTCCACACTGTTTTCCACAGTGGCTGCACCAAACTGCATTCCCACCAGCAGTGTAGGAGGGTTCCCCTTTCTCCACAGCCTCTCCAGCATTTGTCATTTGTGGATTTTTGAATGACGGCCATTCTGACTGGTGTGAGGTGATACCTCATTGTAGTTTTGATTTGAACTTCTCTGATAATTAGTGATGTTGAACATTTTTTCATGTGCTTTTTGATCATTTGTATGTCTTCCTTGGGGAATTGCTTGTTTAGGTCTTCTTGCCATTTTTGGATTGGGATGTTTATTTTTTTCTTATTGAGTCATATGAGCTGCTTATGTATTTTGGAGATCAAGCCTTTGTCGGTTTCACTTGCAAAAATTTTCTCCCATTCCATAGGTTTTCTTCTCGTTTTATTTCTGGTTTCCTTTGCTCTGCAGAAGCTTGTAAGTTTCATTAGGTTCCATTTGTTTATTCTTGCTTTTATTTCTTCTAGGAGAAAATTTTTGAAATGTATGTCAGATAATGTTTTGCCTATGTTTACCTCTAGGAGGTTTATTGTATCTTGTCTTATGTTTAAGTCTTTAATCCATTTTGAGTTGATTTTTGTATATGGTGTAAGAGTGTGTTCTAGCTTCATTGTTTTATATGCTGTTGTCCAGTTTTCCCAACACCATTTGCTGAAGAGACTGTCTTTATTCCGTTGTATATTCTTGCCTCCTTTGTCGAAGATTAGTTGACCAAAAGTTTGTGGG